CCTCATTATGTTATCATTTAGCGATCCATACACTCCCCTAAGATGGACACACCTGAGATTATATTCATCCAAATCCATCTGCTCCTCGCTCTGGTGGGAATCCAGAGATTAACGCACCTTTTTGAGCATTTTCCAGAGGGAAGTGTGAACCACTCAATGTAGTTTAAGTGGCTGCCTGCCATTCGACGCAAATTTATTTCGAGTCAATAGCCTGGTCTAGCACACATTCAAGTCGATTTTTGAGCAAATAGTGTATATATGTATATATGTATGTATGTATAACCGATAAGATAAGAATACGAAAAGCAACTCTTTCGATGGCGCATTTCTAGTTTATGGCTTTGGGCATTTGCTTCTTCGATTGCGTTTAATTGCATCAAAATTTATTTATAATTCAAAGCGTACGAGCTCGAATAAATATGGAAAACTGCGGACCTTGGCCGGGCATCTATCAGCTGGAGGTGGTGTGGTGGTGGTTTTCAGGGACACTCGAATCCGTTAAACCCGAACGTGGGTCCACTTGTCGGCAGAGACCCCACACACTGCCACACATTGTGGCACTGGCAAGTGTCATCGGAACAAGAGATGAAGCGAAAAGCAACAGTTTGGATTATCGTTTGATTTATGGGACGGACCAACGGACGCACTTTCAAAACAAATGTCTGACAGAGTCCGGAGTCCGACCTACGATACAACGTTTAAAAATTTCATTTAAAAATGCAGTCCGTCGCCACACGAGAATTTCGTAACAGACGACAGATGCAAACTGCACAGGTGGACAAGTTTATAGGAGAGGCCCAAAAAAACCATAAAATACAACAAAAACCGAACTACTTTTGGGTCTTTTCCGCACGAGTATGTGGAACGGGGGGAATGGGATGGGACTGGGACTGGGATTGGGTTCAGGTTCGTGCTTATGTCATTTGCTGTCATTATGGAAATATTATTATATTAATTTGACCCCAAAACTGGAGCACCACCAACAATAGGCAGCAATTATATTTGGGTCTACGTCTACCATATGTATGATGTGTCAAAAACAGAAAAGCTCGTGGCAATCGCTTCGGGTGGGGTCCCTAAGTTAAATGAAATGCATCCAGTGTGGGCATTCTTCGGCTGTCTAATCTGAAGCGAACATAATACGACCACAAATAACACCACAAATTCCAAATAAATCCAACCACAAAATGTTGCAAAATCGAAATGTTTTCGGCTGGAAAAATGTGCACGGGCATGGGCTGCCACCTGGAGATGGTCAAGTGGGTCCCAGGTATCAGCATGTGTTCGGTGAAGTAAGTGGAATAAGGAATATGATACTATAAATGGATAATGGAAGAGTCTTCAATCTGGGATAGGAGAATTCCAAGAAACGAATCGAGCATAGTCAAACCATAAGCTGCAATGGATCCATTTATTGTTTAAAGTCAGATTAAAATCAGTGTGCAAGAGTTGATTTTTAAGCTGCGTTATTCAAGATGAAATGGAAAACAAACTCTGGGATTGTTTAATAATTAAGTGTTGCAATGTCATTGTTTTATTTTGTCAGGGATTTCCCATCTCTCCCCCTTTGGTAACTCTTCATATTATCCAGTAGTAAATAGTCAGAGACAAGAGCTACGAGGACTGAGCGCTGCGCTGGTTTACCTTAAGAAAAACTAACAAAAACTGATACAATTTTTTGTACAATTAGTTTCGTTATAACTTTGTTTGGGTTTTCTAGTTTCTAGTTTTCTGGGCACTGTTTTGTGGCTGTGACTTTTGTACCATTATTTAGGTGTAATTATTTAAACATTAAACCAGTCCAGTGACTGCGATGAATTCTGCTCTGCTGTTGTTATTTTGTCAGTTTTTTCACCGGTCATTTCCATTACAGAGAAAACAAGAAAGTCATAGACCAAACTATGAAATGAAACATCATCACCCATCGGAGCAGTCAGTCAGCCAGTCAGTCGGCCAGTCAGTCCGAACCCGAAAGTACGGGTACTCGTAATGCGGTGGAATGATTGTTTCTGGCTGAATCTTTGCCGCTTTCTTCGGAGATTGCTGGGGGATTTCTTTGATTACTTTACTCCCGGGAGAAATTTTTTCACAGCGGAAGAACAGAATTAAAGGTGATTTGTTGGGGGGGGTAAGAATAAACTCAACGAAACAATAATCAACAGCTGACACAGAGAGAGAGAGAGAGAGATAAGTGTAAGGAAAATGGAAAATTGGAGAATGAGAGAACCTACCACAACATTTTCCTCGATTCGGTTGAACTGCGCATGACACCTGACCTTGGGTAAGCGGGACACTTGTTTTCCACAGAAACAGACTTTCACTGCGAGCATTTCCCGCATTTTCCTGCAAGCCTGGTCGAAATCGTAATGGCGAGTTTGTGTGTTGACAGATTCAAGCGCCAATTTGGCAAAGAATTCATGGAACCACCGGCAAGGCGAACGTCCCTCTCGACGGACGACCTCTTCCAGCGTCGGCTGCGCGCCTAATCGAGGCGCCATAGGGCGCGGCGACCTGACGGCGCCGCCGACGCTCCCGTCACCGCGGCACCATCTCCCACGCCATTTGATAGTCGTGTTCGTGGTCTGTATGGTCTAGTCTGGGCCTGGGCCTGGGCTGGGCTCCACACAGCACAGCACAATCAATGATTCGTTGCGCCGGGCGATGCGGTTGTCAGAAGCTGATAGACCGCGATTCCGAACTGAACTCAAAGACGGGCCCAAAACAAACCCAAACCAAAATCGAAGACAAAAATGGTCGGCAAGTTTAAAGCTTTGGAATTTAACCTGCCAAACGATTCCCTCGAGTTTTCAACGCTGATTTTCACACGTTTTAATCGCTTTGAACTTGCTCGGATAACACCACCGAAACAGAAACAGAGACAGAATACCAAAGATACAAAGCCCAAAGCCCATTAGAAGGTGCCATCGGATGGCCCCTGTAATAACTTGTTTGAGCAGACTAATTGCCGCTGCTGGGTCTGGGTCTGGGGTCTGTCTGTCGGTCGGTCGGTCGGGTAAAGGTAACCCCTTTGATATGTTTTACGCTTACGAGCGAGTATCTAATGGGTTTGATTTTAGCTTCTAAATTGGTGGCAATCAAGGTGTTCTTTCCTTCTCTGTTTGCCCCGAAGAAAGTTTTGAAGATTCGTTCAAAGATTTCAATATTATCGCATCGTTGATGCCTTCTGATGGAAATTCGATTCGATTGTAACTTAATACAGCATATGTACAGTGTACACTGCCCAACAGCGTTAGCAAGTGCCTTGGCAGTTCTTTCAACTCGCAGATGAACAATTTAATTAATATTTCCATCCAACTTCCTGCATCTGAGACGAGTGTGTGCATGCCCTTAAGAATAAATAGCCGTCGCTGGCTAATTGCCTATACTCGTACTCGTCTGTAAGAAGCCACAGTAAGTTGGCCTTGTCGATGCGGACATATGGCTATAAACAGACTTGGTCTAGCCATATAAAGAGAAAGAGAGAGAGAGAGAGCACTGATGGTTGGAAATGCAGTAGAATGCAGAGCCATTCCGAGACCCAAAAATCTCCGAGTCTCATGGAAGAGTCGTCTGATGTCTGATCTGTAATGTGTGATGTGTAAGGGGGGGCCACCCGTGAGAGAACGAACGGGCCGGATCCCATTGCAACCCCGCAGACACACGCAGACACACGCAGACACAGACAGATACATTTTCCAATTAACGTGGCTTATCTAAAAGTCAATAGCTTGCCAGCCTGTATTTTGACAGTCTCAGTCCCCAGCATCGAATGATTAAACAATTAGCTGGGAGGCTCAGGCTCAGACTCAGGCCACGGCCCAGACACGTTCTCCCAAAAAGATCTGAACAGATCTGGGGACAGATCTGAAGATCCCTCATCAATTACAGAAAAATGAAGGAGAAAAATAGAGAAACAAATACCAAGCTGTGATGAGAAGGCAAAGCACCAACACCGGCCACAAAAGAAAGTGAAAAACAGCCATCTACAATATGGCTAGATAGATGGGTATAGGTATGGGTATGGGACCTTCTTCATGGGAGTCGCCGTTTACACTTTCCCAAGACAACACCAACACGCAATCAGACGGAGAAGCGGACTGGAGAAAAACCTCAATCAAAGCGGGCTGCATAACTTAAATGCAGAGGTCATCATCGGCTCCGTTGTGTGGGTTGTTTGTTTGGAAAGCGGCGATGCCAATGCTAGGCGATGCCTGATGCCCAGATGCCCAGATGCCCAGATGGATGGCACACGGAAACGCACATCAGAGTTACTGTCCGAAAATAAAAGACCCAGAAAAAGAAACAAGCTAACTGTAGCTTATTAAGTGAAAATGAAAGCGTTTGCTGCACAGAGAGAGGGACGGAGACGGAGACAGAGCCATGACCAACGAGGACCACTCTAACCGGTTCCCTGGGCAAAAACTAATCCCAAGCCGAGTTTTCATCACTGTCACACAATGTGCGCAAGTACTTTGGCGCTGACCTCTAACCTCTGGCGGAGCAGTTGCAAAGGAAAAGCAAATCTTGATTGGCAACATCTTAGAACAGAGAAAACGCAGAAGTGTTCTCCCATTCTTAAATAAATTCATACATATATTCTATTCGTTAAAATAATTTGTAATATTCGTAAAAGAATTTCCCCTGCCCTGCTCAGTGTTTTCCTTTAATGTTTAATGTACCATTTAAGCCCAATACGGATCATCTGGATGATTCTATATGAACTCACACACTCGTACACATACATATGTATAAATACAGATCAGATAAGCAATAGAATTTGTATAGGAATCATCCGAGCGGAATACATGAAAATACATGAATAAAAAAAAACCCATTTACTTGTTGCTCTCTAATGTGTCTCTGAAATATTCCAAACTTCCAAACGCGAATTTGCGAGTTCCCTGTGGCAAGCTGTTGTGTCTTTTACATCACGTTACATCACATCACCCACCCCAGGAACTATTTCGCCCATTCCGTGTGGCACATTCACATTCACTTACCTCTATCAATGGCTGCATTGCTGTCCACGCTGCTGGTGGCGCTGTCATCCATTTGCGGCTGCTTCTGCTCCCGCTGCTGCTGCTGCTGCTGCTGGGAGTCCTCCTGCTCCTGGGATTCCAGCTCGAGCTCTGGCAGCCGATCCGCGCCAGAGAAGTGCACAGTGCCATCGCGGTGGAAGTGCAGCTCGAAGCGGGTGGGAATGTCGGCCTCGTAGTCCCCGCCGGACTTGTGGGCCTGGGCAGCCACCTTGTAGTAGAGGGAGGCGAACTGGTAGATGAGGGCCCAGGCCTGGTCCTCGGAGAGCGGGGCCTTGAATGAGTCCAGTATGTTGTTCAGGGTGACGCACTGATCCGGACACGAGCACTGGTGGAAGGCTTGCCGAAGCAGCTGGCGACTGCCGCCAGGCATCGGAGCGCCCAGCCCCAGCCCCAGCCCCAGTGCCAGGCTTCCGTTTCCATTTTGGTTTTTGGCAGCTCCTCTGGAGTGCGCGTGTGAGATGGTGTGAGTGTGGGTATGGGACTGCTGGGCATCGCCGTTGGCACTGTCCGGCGAGGTGGAGAGGAAGCCCTCCTCGGCCTCCAAGAACTTGGCCTTGGGCGCAGCCATGGCCTTGGACTCGGATGCACTCTGCGTCGCGTCGGCGTGCACGTCCATGTGGTGCTCCGTCATGGCTCGCTCGGGCTCGCTTGCCTATCCAGACTCTGGTTCGGATGCAACGGTCCAAGTCTCTCCTGCACCCCTCCACATATAAGGAGATTGCTGTGCTCTGGGTTAGGCCCGGAATGTCTGCGGCTCCACTCGCTGGCAGGGGTCGAAGCTCGCGATTATCCTATCCTACTATTGTTCGGGGTAGAACTGAACAGATATGGGAGCACAGAAATTGATTTTCTCCCAAAGACAAGTAACACACACAAATATTACGGCTACGGGTACATATGTGTATGTTTTGTCAAATCAGACACAGAACACTTAGTATTTTAGATTACGAGTAACACAAAAAGGAATACTAGACGCAAAACGAAAAGCAGGGCGCAGAGCACAGAGCAGAGAGCACAGAGCACAGAATTATGCTTGCTGGCTGTCGTCACGTTTTTATGCACTTTGCACACAGTTTCCGTTATGTTTGCCTATTGCTCTGTGGCGGCACTTTTCTTTTGCTTTGCTTTGCTTTGCTTTGCTCTTGCTTATTTGAATCGCTTTGCTTCTCCTGTTTCGAATTTCACAACACTGAGCTGAGTATTATTCTTTGAATGTTTTATTTTTTATTTTTTGTCAGCTGCTGTAGCTAAACAAAGTCACGCGCACTAATTTTTGTTTACTTTCTTTTAATCAGTGGTACACTCTGAATTTCATATCAAGTGCATTTTTAAATTGTATATTAATCGCTGTCGTCTACCGCTGCCGTGTCCGCTCGGTTCAGAGAAAAATTTGAAACAAGCGCGCCAGCAGAAGCACAAGCACAAACAGAGCCAAAAACCAAAGACTCTACTCTGGTTCGTTCGGTTCAGAGAGGCAGAGAGAGAGAGAGAGAAGAGATAGGGAAAGAGAAAACATGTTTCCAATTCAACAAATGTCCGCTCAGCTGTTCGCTCTCTCACTCTCTCTCTCTCTTTGACTAATTATTTCTCTCTCTCTCTCTGTGTCTGTGTCTCTCTCCTTGCATTTCTATTTTGATTCCGGTTTTCGTTGTGTTTGCGCTTCGTTCGGCTGATAAGAGCTTTTGGCTGTCTTTGCTTTTGCTTTTGCCTTTGCCTTTCCATTCTGTTTCTGTTGGGGCCTTAATATTTCGATTCGCCAATTCCGAGAGCGATTCGTGTTAAGGTCAGGTGGGAGCTACTCTCCGGGCCACTGTCGCATTAAGATAAGGTTGTAAAAACTCTTTGGGGCTGGCGGAAATGGCCGGGTTATTAAGAGTCTGGGTAATTAGATTCGAGTTGGTGCTTGTAGTTGATTACATTTGGTTTACTTTTAGGGCTTATTAAGAAAGACATTGAGGTGCTTAGTTAATTTGATCAAATTTGTATGTATCCGTCCGACATGGTGGCCCTGTGAAAAGGCTGCAGGAGATCAAGCGATTGTGTTCTTGTCCGAAGCGTGATCTTGTCATGATTATAATCATTAATAATTATTAAACAATTTATTGTATTTTATTATTATGGACAACCATATGGGACATTCGTACTCATTGCAAGTGGTAGAAAGGTCAAAATAAGACCGATTTTCAAAATTATTTTTCCCGTATAGCAAACGGATTCTGGGAAACTTTTCGTTTTCGAGATATTTGCAAAAAAACAAGGCATTCGCACGGGACGAAAACAGAAGTGGTTTACGCGGTGATCAATTAAAAATTAAATTTCAGCGAATATTAAGGTAATATGTATGTACATATGTATATTGATTGAAATTTCAGATAAATGTTATGCATTGATGTCTCTTTTCAATTGATTTAGTTTTACGTAAATATGATTCGTAGTTTTTTGTTTTTTTTTTTTAATTAACTTATGCCTTTGTCGCACGGGACAGGACAAGAATTCCTAGGTTAATAACAGTTAAAAATATACAGGCTAGCAGAGATTGAACCATTTTTCTTGTACATATCTGATGTGTCCTGTCAAATTAGGAATACATAATGTGTGCCAATGGAACAAATCGCACCGTATGTGCCATACAGCAGCCAAAGACACGGTACAAAATTGTCATTTCATGGGGAGCACAATTGACATATGTTCCTACAGAGGATCCAATCATAATCCAACCACTATGTCTTATAGAAACAATTAAATTCCGCTATTTGCCATTGTTCACCCAATAATAAGTTTTCTTTTAGAATGGAAATAAGTTGGGCCTAGTTGGGCCTAGTTGGGCCAAGTCCGTCCCACCCATCATCGCTTCAAGGTCCTCGGTGACATTGGAAAACCGCGCAACATCAACATCCAGCATCATTTGTAAGGGATCTCAGTCGCAGTTTTACGAGATAATAAGCCCCATAAGTACGGCTCACGCCGACGTCCAAGTTATGATATATGAGCCGTAAATTGAAACTTTATATCAATGCCGACTTGTTTGTTGGGGGAAAGATTTGCATACAGTATTATTACAGCATCACCATCAGCAGCGGGTATCGGGAACCAGGCATCTGCGGTAAACTTTAACGACTTGTTTTTGCCCGTTAATAAAAAATAAAACACAAACAAAATACATTTCTCTCCGTACGTGCATTTTATTAATTGGCAGCAACTGCAGCCGAAGAGTCCGCGTCCAGGGCCCACGTAATCATCGAATAGCCATAAAAAGTGTGTCCTCTACTAGGTAGCACCGCGCAGCTGGCCAGCCATGGCATGGCCGATGGCCGATGGCGATGGCGATGACGACACCAGCATCATGCAGAAGCCGTTGGGACACCATCGACAATCACCATCCAAAGATACATATGGCAATTGTCTCGTTTTATGTGCCAATCGCTAATGAATTAATTAGCCAGCCACCATTGCATTGGCCTTTCATTTCTATAAAAAATTAATGCTCCGCCAAACGGGCACCTGGTCAAGTTCCGAACGGAGTTCAACAGCCGCCACCGCCACCGCCGAACTTCAACCCACAACCACCACCGACCAATCACCATTGCTATTGCTGTCTTTGTTCTTGAACAATATGGGAACTTGACTTCCACTTCCATGATTCATTCATTCATAATTCCAACAGGCCAGAGGCAAGCGAAATGCATGCCAAAGACAAGGCTCCGCACACAATGGGAATAGATGTTCTCGAAGTTATGATGGCCCGTAAACTGGAGCAAGTATTGGGAATAGATGAATATATTTCACGTGTAATCGATATGCATAGATTTCGCTATTCACATTTCCAAGGGTTTTCCTTTTTCCAGAATTGAGATACATTTGTCAGCTGTCAGCATTCAGGCTTAATAGTTGCATAGCATCACAAAGCAAACAAAACTATAAGTTCTATAACATTGCTTACTTTTTCGACCGACTTCTGTAGAAGTAATTCGATAGTCGGGTAATTCTCGCACCTTCCCGGTTTGTTGACGGCTGTTCTATCTGGGCGGTTCAACCAAGCATGACATTTTTGGTCAATTACATACACACGAGTATATCGCGCGGGTGGCACTTGGCCCGGCTCCAGTCGTTGTCCAAGCCAGACCCTGCTCCAAGCCCGCGATTCGCTTCGAGAGTGGGGTGTGGGCGTGGGTCCGTGCATTGTGTGTCGTGCAACGGCGTGGCGTCTCGTCTCCCTCCACTCGAGCCGGAAACGTGCATCCGTTTTGGATAGGGCTCGATCTCCACCCCGTTAAATGCAGGCTTCTAGCCAGATTCTACAGCATGAAACGCGCACGAAACTAAAGTTTCCGAATCTGTGCCAAACGCAAGTAAGCCGAGTCAGCCGAGTCAGTCGAGCAGCCGAGGTCTATCCAAATTTGGCTACAGATTGCGTACGATTGCCTCATTCTGCTGCAACGGCGTCTAGTTGTTGTTGCTGCTGCTGTAGCTGTTGCTGCAGAGGATGCAACGCTTCGCTGCGTCTGACACTTTGCTCAAAAATTGCATAAAGTACGTTTCGAGGAAGCCGCAGTCATCAAATGGCAAAATAGAAAATGGATAATAATGGATATCTGCTGTTGCGGCTGTCGCCCTTTTTGAGGGTTGCTTCACTGTGTAATAAACGGAACGTACCCTGGAATTAAAATTAAATATCGGTCGCATCAACTGTAATGTATTGTTTTGATTAGCAAATACAATCCTGGCTGGCTATCGAACAATTGTCGCAGTGGAGCCGCCCCCCCTGGCAGATGTTCTCAGCAGGCTAAAACTGTTCCTAAACAATAGCCAGAATAGCTTGGCCTCCATCTCCATCTCGTACACATGTGAGAGTAATTAAATGTCTTCTAGCCCCCAGTTGCATTCTTCCGAAGTGGTTATTGTTGTCACAGCTACCGCGTAGCGTTCATTAAAGAAAATGATCAAAACCTGCCAGTCAGTCAGCCGTTCCCCCAACCCCTCAGAGTAGAGTCGGTGACGGAGACGAAGTTTGAGTTGGAGCCGCCTCCCAGCCTACCTGCCTACCTGCTCAGGGCTGATCTTAACTCACGTGTGGAAATCATGGCAGCTAATGTGCATTATATTTCTTTCCTCTCCGCTATTGTTGTTGTTGTTGTTGTTGCTATTAGCGTTGTTATTTCTGTGTCCCTGCATTCATTTGCTCCGTCCCTCCGTCCCTCCGACCAGGCAACAATTGTGTAATATTCTGTCGGCATTTGTGTGCCCCCCAGTTGGGGCTGCTCTAAAAACGTGATGCAATTAGGCCTCATAGGAGGCGTAGCGCAGCCCCGCGATGCAGTCGGGCATGTGGGTTCAAGATCGGACAAAGACAGCAGAATCTGGGGGAAAAAAAGTGTGAAAAGGGAGCCCAGAGTTATGATTATCGTACGTGTTCTTCTAGTTCTCCACATCGGGTAATCAATTTTTTCATGTCTTCATTATTATTTTTTTTTATTTTCGAGTGTGAGAGTTTTGTGCATGATTTAATAATGGGTTCCGGACCTGCGTACACTCGTCCGTACAGCCATCTATCTGCAGGAGACGAGGCATGAGAATGTTCAGAATTAGGTTTCTTAATTTGTACATTAATATGACCCATAAGAAAACTCTGAATATAAAAAATAGACTAGCCCCCCGATGCAGAGATGCATGGATCTAAAATAAAAGGAAACAATCCAAATAGCATTGTATCCACCAAGAGGGGAATGGATATGACTCAAAGATGAGTTTTTCATTCGGGAACTTTCCCTCATTCCCGTGGCGTTCATGGAGCGGAGCCCGCCCTCTATTACCATAAGCATCTGTAATTGAGACCCAATTCCGCTGTTGGTGCTATCTTGACACCCATTGCTCATCACATCACACTTTTCGTGTGCCACATGTGGCACATTGACCCAAGTGCCAAATACCAGACCAGCTAACCCAGAAACCGCAGCCGAGCGCAGTAAGCGATATTTTCTATTTCCATTGGGGAATGGCAAACTCCACTTCAATTACTACAATACGCATTATTTTTGTTGGGTATAAAACATTTTTTAGCGGCTTAAGTGTATCGGCCCATTCGGCCCGGGTCTGCCAAGGGAACGGAGACAGGAGACGAAGATGAAGATGAAGAGAAAAGGCCGTGCTCAAGTAGACGTGACAAGAGACAAAGGCAGGCCCGGAGAGAATCTTTTCGTGGATCGCCATGCAGCCATGGCGCGATTTGGCATGCCCAGGGAAAGCAGCGGAGAATTACACACATACTCGTAGTACATAGTGGTACTAATGGTAGGAATGGAAATCGCGGAAATCGCACACAACAAATCGCAGAACGATTCCTAGCAGCGCTCCAATTTGTGTTCACGTAATTATTTCAGGTAACTCCGAGACGCGCAAGACCCATTTAAACGGTAGGGCAACGTATTAAAACTAAGTGCCACTTAAGCCAGCCTGCCCAAAAGCTTTTTACTTAGTTCCAGAACTTGCGCAAAAAGCCCTGACAGACAAAGAGATTGTCTCTCCAGCCTAGCTTCGACTGCCTCCGATGCCTGCCTCGGAATGGGGCACATTTAGTCCGAGTACTCGTACTCGTACTTCGTCGTTCGTAGTTCGTAGTTTGTAGTGTTCGTTGATCATTTTGCCTGCCCTGCCTCCTATGTGCAATGCAATTTCTAAAACGTGATTCGTGCAGAGACAAAATGCCACACTCCCCTCCCCATCCTCCTCCTCCTCCTCTTGGGCAGTGCCAGAAGAGCCCATTAATATAATTTGTGTCTGGAGTTATTTTTCCTCAGACTTGCAGTCTGCGAGTTCCGATCCGAGCCTCGTCCTAAACGATTATGAGCTCCGAGTTGAAGGCGACTGATGTTGGGAAAACATGCCACAGTTTTCCATATCGCATTGTTGTTCGGCTGACGGGGTCAGAGTCCCCCAAAGCACCTCCCTCCCATATAGATCAAATGGAACCGCTGATCGTGTCGTCGTCGTCGTCGTCATCTACGGCGATCGATGGCTCTTTTCGCGGCCTCATGGTGTGTGTGTGTGTGGTGTGTGGGCTTTCCTCTTATTTTATTTACAGAATTGTCTACGCTTTTTATTGGATGGCGCTCTATTTTTATTAGCGCGCAACCGAAATGACTTTTTCATGGGAACAAATGGCCCAATAGCGCCGGGGGTTGGCGTGTTGACAGCCCGATAAATTCGAGTTAGATGATGGGGTGGGAGGTTTCTTTTCGGAAGTGGAAAATTGAAGTTGCTAAAAATGGTCAACGGGCAGGGAACACAAGTCAGGGCAACAAACAGCAGTGGGCGGCTATAATTGGGGATATCGGAGCACAAATTGTTGTCTCGAACTGATGATTCAATTGAGATCTTTTGATAAACTGTTCCCCCTATTGTAGTATTTGTATTCAGCAATACTGATACTTCGTATCGTGCATGCGTATTTAACTCTGGCTGACATTGGATCGATATCCGTAGACAACAGCCTAAAACATTATTTTCTTATATTTTATTCTTTCTTTTTTTTCCAATTAATGCCCAACAGATCTTTACAATTGATCATCGATTTATTTTAGTTTTTTGTGTAATTTGGAACTTAATGATACGAGATATATACCAACTACTCGTATATATGTATTTATTATTATTTATTTGATGATTATTCCGAAGTGACTTTTTAAAAAAAAATGTTCATACTGATCCTGAACAGATATAGAGCTGCTTCTGTCCAGAATCTTTCTACATTGGCGGCTCCACATGCTGCTCATCCCAGTGGCCATTAGCATTAACAAAAACACAGCCGCAGGACCCAGTCAAGCAGCACACAGGGGCCGACAACAGGTTGGCGACACTTTTTTTATTATTTAGCTGCAATATTCAGAGAAAACTTAAAGTCTGCGGTCTGGGGCGGGAATGGAGGCGACAAATCAGCGCGGATCGGGCCACGATCTGCGGTCATACAGTCATAAACTAAGTGACCACCTGGATGCGGGCGGGGCGGGGCGGTCGGCTACCATAAAACAAACTCTTTATGGTTCGGTTGCCGACGACTATGACTGCGACATCGACATCGACATCAGCGTCGGAATACGATAATGAAGATCTTGCCACAATGTTCTCACTTTCCGGGCAAGGAATAAAGTCGCTTGGCATCTAATGATGGGAACCAACCGTTTTGCAGCGACTTGGAAAGCGATGGACCACACAAAAAGAGTCACATCAGCAGCAGCAGCAGCAGCAGCAGCCAGAGAAAGATGGAAAGAGAGAGTGAGAACAGACCAGATCGGTCCTGCTCTGCTCTGCATTGCTCTGTTGGGTACTTGGATCGGCTCCACCGACTGCAACCTGAGCGCACTTTCATTTTCAGCTCCCGCCGCATAATTAATTGCGACCGAAAGTGGACAACGATTTTTCGTGGTAGCAGAAAGTAAAATGTGGCCCCGAGCTGCTCCGCGCTCCTCCGCAGGAACAACGAACCTGTCGACCAGCAAACCGGATCGGATCAATGGGAGCCCGGGCAACTTTCTTCTTGCGGCTTCTGACACACTAAACTGACGCAACGCAACGTGTGGCAAGTGCAACAAGTGCAGATCAGAGCAACGCAGCCTGCACCGCCAACGTGCAACGTGCCACTGCAACGCCCACAAGCCCCAGCACCAGCCCCAGCCCCAGCCCGGTAGACGATCTACCACGCGGACACCGCAGGAAGGCAGCTTCCTTTCCAGAAAGAAATGCATTTCAATGGAGGGCATAAATAAAAATTAAGCATGTTTATAGGTGATTGGGGGGCGAGGGAGACGGTGCCAGCTGGGAACATGCCTCCTCATTCACACGACTCAGATGGTGAGCATACCCTGTGAGGTTGCCCTGGAGCCCGGGCATGTTGGCTCCTTCCAAAGAGCAGACACGATCCAAAAGCCCACTGGCCAAGTAAATAGTTTTCCAACCAGTAGAGCAACCTTTTTTTGAGTGATGGATCCGATGCGTTTGATAGTTAAATCTACATAGAGGTTCAAGGTGAATCCCATTGGAAAAATATAGTCAAGCAAAGTTTGATCTGTTGTTAATAAATTTCTAAAAGCAGTCAGAGGGCGCCACATAGTCGTCGACCCACGCTCGATGGGATCCGACTGGCTGCCAGGAGTGCTGGAGTCGCCGAACCCAAACCCGATCGACAGTCCACTGCCTGACAGAACCAGTTTAATGGCACATGAAATTTCACCAAAAAATCTGTGAATCTCCAAGTCTAGCTCGGGGAGGCGCATGGGAGACACGGGGACACATGGAGGGAGGCGTGGCCAGTTGATTTGCTTAAAAAGAAATTCACTTTCCTTCGACGGTTTTTACTTTTTCAAACTTTGTGTGCGACTCTTTTTGTCTTTCGTTATTTTGCCTGCCTTGCCCCAAGTCTCTCCATCCCATCCCATTCCATCCCATCGCATCCCATGGGCCTGCAAGGCGAAGAAGGTCACGCCGTGTTGTAGATCATGAGGATCGGATCCGACAAGGCCCAGACCACGGGAGGCTGCTGACTGCTGCCCGCTGGATACTGAATGGTGGATACTGAATGGTGGATGGTGGATGGTCGCTTGGTCAAAGTCGCAGGCTAAGGCTAAGGCTGAGCTAAGTCTGAGCTGTGGCGGTGGCTGGGACTAACAAACACAACAAAGCAAAATCCACAATTGAATGCAATGTCTTGCATTGGCAATGAGCGCAGAAATACTTTTAATGAAAGTTGGCACTTTGCTTTTTGGGTTTTCTGACTTGCTTTGGGGGTTTCGTTTCGTGTCGTTTTGTTTTGTTTTGTTTCGTTTAGTTTTGTTGGTTTTTCATTTTTTGATTTGTGGCAGGCAACCGTGGAAAATAGACTCGTGGCAGGCAGGCAGGCGGGCAGGCAGGCAGGCTGTAAAGCGTTTTGCAAGTAGCTCGCTTGTCGGAGGTGTTTGCAGAGGCTAATTGGATGCGGACAATGGATGGTTTATTGTCGTCACTGGGGAAGATCCTTAATTGGTAAGAGGCCCCCATTGCGGATCTGCGAAGATTACAAAGTAAAGTAAAGTAAAGTAAAGTATCCGAAGTTTTGGATAATTTGATAATAAAATGTAGCTTCAGGCAGTGCCGGTTTTCTATGCCGCTGAAGCAAACGGACAAAACTGTCTATATAGCGTTCAATTTATAACATATATTTTTGGCTCTCGGCTTTGACGATAGAAAGGATAGTAAGGATATTAAAAATGCATAGTATTATAGATCACATTTTTCGAAAATGAAGTAGTATTACATTTGAGAGAGAGAAAGCCAGTCAGCCAAACGGAAAGTTCCCCGGCTATTTTCCCAGTCAAGAATATATGTACATACAAATGTAAATACTGGTACATACTTCAGGGAAACATTAAAGCACAGTACACCACCATTGATTATGCACTGGATCAACGTTGTTTTGTTGTTAATTCATCAGTAGAAGAACCTTACATTTTTGTGAAAATAGATTGGAATTATTTACACCTACAGCTCTCTAATATCTGTGATCCGTAGTACATAGTTCCTTATGGTAGCATTTTGGGCTATTTTAAAATTAAAGATCTGTTTAGTTGCTTTTGAGCTTTAATAACATCGCTTTTAATTACACGCTGTTGCCGAGCGCTGACTGCAGTTTGTACATTGTAAATGGTAAATGTTGCATGTAGTTTGTGTGTGTTGTGGTGGGTGGAGGGTGTGGATAGATTAACGTGTGCGTTGGTCCCAGTAAAAGAGTCCCTCAGAAGTCACCGTTTAAAAGTTTACAACGTGTGGATGGACACTGTTTTGTGTCCAAAGTGTCTTCATCTGTGTGCTCGTGTTTAGTGTTTTTCTTCTTTCTTTTCGTCCTTCTGTGGCGGCGGATCCTCCTCAGAGGGCGGGGCCTCCTCCTTTTCCTCTTCCTCGATGCCATTGTGCAGCTTGGACCAACGGGGAACTTGGAAGAGAGCCCAGAAGGGAATCACCATCATGACCAGCAATGAGCCACCGCCCATGATCAGCTTCTGTCCGGCCGACAGTGGGAATCGTGGTGGACCAGCAATGGGGGCATGGTGACGCACTTGTGTCACGGTGACGGGCCCCTTCTGTTTCAGTAGCAGAAGTTTCCGCATCAAAGTTGAACTCATGGCGAACGCTGTGCGAGAAGCCATGAAGCACAGAAAAAATATGGAAAATTTGGGAAAAAACTTACACAGCTGTTCACTCGTGTCTGAAAAAATGAAATTGAGCCTATAATTCGGCTTGACAGCTGAACTGACTGATTACAGCAGAGTCAGGAGTCAGGCCTACTGCGACTTGAGAGTTGAGGCAACCAGGAAACAGTTTGACAGGGTTCAAATGCTAATGAAAATGGTGCCTGCACTCGCTTTTAATTCAGTTTTAGTTGCGCTGCGTCTGAGACAAAGCATTCGAAAAATTATGGTAACTCCATAGGCAATCGGCTGCCCGGGCTGGAATTATTCACAGCCACCAAGTGAATTTACAATTCACATTTAATTTAATGCACAAATTTGAATTTGCTTTCCCGCCCAACAGTAGCGGTGCTGGAAAGCGGCTTGCAGTCAGCTGTTGGCTCAGTATCGATAGTTTTGCAAACTTTAGACAGAAATATCGATAGTGCTAGTGGGGGTATTCCTCCCCGTCTTCTTAGTAAATTGAATGTTATTATTTGCAATGAAATCAATAAACACAAAAATTTTAATGTATTACCAGCGTTGTATGCTGTTTTTGCTGCTAATTGTCAATTGTCTTAATTGATTTGTTCGACAACGACATCTATCGACATGGAACAAAATTTCATCGATAGGGAGCCAGGTCACCTCTAATAAATATCTGTTTCAAACCAAAACAAACAAATATCTGAGAAAATGCATGATAAGTCCACAGGAGACGTCGGCTACGAGCGCCAGCAAGGGTGAGTAAGTCGGCAAACACCCCAAGAGCATTTACTGAATACAAATATCACTTTTGCAGTGGCCCCCAAGCCGACAGTCATCAAGCGCGCATTACGCAGATTGAAGAGTTCATTAACGAAGTCCTGAAACGTGACCTCAGGGAACTGGAGGACTGGATCGGGCAATACAACCAGGAGATCATGGAGTATGTCCAGCTAAAGAACACACTGCAGACATTCGACGCCCACCTGCCTGAGGGATACAAGACCCAAGTGAACATTGGCAGCAACGTGTTCATGCAGGCGCGCGTCACGCAGATGGACAAGATCCTGGTGAACGTGGGCAAGGACGTGTTCCTGGAGATGAGCAGGGCGGAGGCGGAGAGCTTCAGCGATGTGCGCATCAAGATACTCACCAAGGAGGCGGATGTCCTACGCGATGAGAGCATAAAGAAGCGGACGCAGATCAAGATGTCTCTGCTGGCGATAGGCGAGCGGGCGAAGCTGATGCAGCAGGAGGTGCGTCAGTGAGCAGCGTTTGTCGGGTAGGGTGGGGGAAATAGTAGTTTTACACCAGCACAAAGCTTACTTCATTTCGATTACACTTGGACAGGTAATTTACAATATACGCAAAATTTAATGTACACGATGTTGGCCGAATGGTAGATGGGATTTAACTAAATTGAAATGGAATGTGGATTCGGGTGCTGTTCCTACAATGGGCTATCCGAGGATTGTGTTGCTTTGACAGGGATGGACTTTCTTGACTTCAATGAGCTGCCGCTTTGCCCAAGCTCGACTGATTTTGGGGCACTGAGTGGTCATTGAGCCTTTGGGAGTGGACGGCAAGGCGCTGCGATGTCCGTGCCAGGATGCGCATTCGGGTGGCCATGTGCTGTATTTTTCCATGGGAAGAAATTAGTTAGTGTCATGTCGGCCAGGGGATTGATTCGGGCACTCACTTCGTCGCCAATCTGTGGGGCCACGCGGGCACAGTCCGGCCGCGGCGACAAGGTTTGAGGGGACGTGGATGTGGTACGGTGGACGGCCTGCTTGACCCTTTGTATCTCGTTCTCCAATAGGGAATAGTCCTGGTGCAGGGTCCTGTACTCATGGACCAACGTCTGGTTCTCCTCCATGAGCAGCTTGATGTGCTCCTCTGCCCGCTTCTCGCACCGCCGCCTTGCCTCGTCCGACCTAATCTGTGCATCCTTCCACTGGCGGAACGAGCTGATGATCTGCTCCTGCTTTTGGATTACGTCCGCCTGCTGCCTGTCAGTCCACACGGAATCTGCTCTTAGATTAATGCACATCCATCCAGACGTCATACTTACTTCAGCTTGCCCCTCATCTGCTTGCATTCGCTCTCGAACTCCCGAATCTGCTGGTTCATTTCGATGTTGGCCACCTTCAGCTGCTCGACGTCCTCGCGGTGCTTTTGCTGCCCCTGGTTCACGTGATCCTGCAAGTTTTGAATAACCCGCCGCGAATTGGTCAGCTCCTTTTGGCTGATCTTCAGCTGGTCGCAGAGCGCCCGCTCGCGTCCTGCGGCTTTGGCCTCCTTCTCTTTTAGCGCCGAGATCTCCTCCCGCAACAGATTGCGCTGGGAAAGACAGCTTGTTAGTGGATAGTTGGGGATATTTCAGATGGAGTTTCAGAATCGACTTCCTACCTCTGTTGTGATATCTTCCAGCTTGTTCTCCCCCTTACAGACAGACTCTTCAAGGCTCTGCTGGCGCTTTTTGGACTTCTTCAGCTCCTTGCACTGCTCCTCGTAGGTCCCCTCGAGCTTTTCGAGCTGCTTGCAGAGTTCCTCGCGCAGTTCTTCACGGGTCTTGAGCAAGGAGGCCATCTGGCGCAACTTGTGTTGCTGTGCACCTGCGATGGAAGGTAAGGGAAGAGAAGGGAAGGGATTAATTCTCTCGACCATCTTTCTCTTCATCGAAACTGACTGTGTGTCTGCCTGAGGGTGTAAATCTCCTCCTTGAGTCCTTGGTTCTCGCTGAAATCGGAGTAGCTCTTTATCATGTCGTGCAGCTCGATAACTTGGGCATCGCGATCTGCTAGCTTTTCCTGCAGGCTGCTTATCTGGCAGGACAAACGCTGGTTCTGGGGTGGAAATGGGGGCACAGATTAAAGAAAGTGAAGGGTTTAACAATGCAGTCAATGCAGTCTGGGGCTTTTGTGTCTGGTGTTTTGGTTTGTGTGTGATTGAGGCCAACTTGTATCTCTAGTTCGTTGTTGATCCGGGGCGGTTCATCGAGCTCCGAGTACTGCTCTGATTCGGGGTGCTGTTGCTGTTGCTGCTGCTGCTGCTGCTCCACTTGCTCGGTCAGCTCCTCAAGGTCCCGCTTGAACTCATCGATAATGCTCAGATAGTTGTCCCGCGTGGCCTGCAAGATCTCCGATTGGGTTTGGCAGTGGAGTAGGGTGTGCTCAAGCTCCTGTCGATGGGGACAGTCCGCAGCCTCGTCGGTCTGGAGTACATGATAGGGGGAAATGGAGAGTGGGACACTGGCTCTCTGCTAGGCTGGGGGCTTACCATGGCAATGCTCAGAATGCTCTCAGAGATCTGTAACGTGTTTCTTGTTGCTGTTTACTTTAAATTGTTTTCGGAGCCGTGTGAGTGGTGCACCTTTCGTGTGGTGTTAGAGTCATTCATGTTGCACAGACCCAAGAATACATATATCCGAGACGAATTTTGCCTTCATTACCGTTTCATTTCATTTCAATAATATTGCTATTAAAACTTTGTCACGAAAATAAAACCAAATCGAATTGATTGACTCTGCCTCCGCTCCTCCCTCCACCATCCGCCCTCTACACTCAGCCCACTCACACTCCCTCGCACAAGGTGGCAAGGTTTCGGGTTTCAAAGTTCTGTTTCTTTGGCACTTCGGCAACACGAGTCAAACAGTGCAAACAATTAAGGGGGCGCGGGAGTCGGAGACCCCCTCGAAGGTTGTCTGTAGTTTTATAGACATTATTATATTTATTCCGCCCCTAGCCTCGCCTGCCATGGCCCGACTGTTTGACACGATTTGAAAATAAAGCTACCACGGCTGCCAGGGTTTTACATACGAGTACGTATACGTATATTATCGCTGAACTGAGACGTCAGTCAGTCAGTCAGTCCGTCTGCTGGATTGGATTGGATTGGATTGGCGCAGGGGAAGCGTGGCTACGCGTACTTAAAACACTTTTAAAGGCACATTATGATGGAGTAGGAGGCGAGGGAGTAACCGTAGCGAGCGATCGGAGTCCTGCTGAATATGCTAGATAAAGGAATGTGAAAATCGATTAAGACAAATGGCGTGGCTTGGCTTGGCCTGGGGGCAATGAATTGTTATGATTTGTTGAGGCCCTCCGAAGCTTCATAGCAGAGGGTTCCGTTCCGTTCCAGTTGCAGTTCCCCCCCTCCCCTATGTACCCATCAAAAGTTATCCCATCCTATTCAACACCTTTCACTGCCTCAGGTTGCACATTTACAGTTTTCCCACCCCCTGCCCGAGCCGGACTGGGTTGGTTGCACTTCCCGCCACTCGAAAACAATTTACACTTTGGGCCAACTTATTCCGACGTATCGCCTGCGCGGCTGTCAAAAATGAATGAGCGAAAAACTTTTGGGCTAATTGCACACCCTCCCCGTTGCCACCAGACCAGGTTGAAACACTTCGCGGCATTCGTTTTCGCGCGCTTTGCCACCTGGACTACAACTTAACGTGAGGTGAGTGGGTGGGTGTCGAAGGCGAAGGCAAAGGCGAAGGCGAGTTCAACTAATTAAGGCTCGTAAATTGTCTGTTTTACGTGTTTGTTTAGCAGCGCGGGCTTATAATGTTCACGGAGCGGAGTCCCGTGCCGTCCGTGGATTTGTTTCACCCGAATAAACAGCAACCAACGACGGATGACGGGATTCTGATATGGACTGCGCTTCCAAGTGCCGACGGCTCCTCGACTGTTTCCGGAGCTGTCTGTATTTGGCCCTAGCTGACTATGATAGAGATGATCACGTGAAGGGGTGCTCACCGATAGATCATCGCCTTTGTCTCTTAATCTTAATCTTAATCTTTGAAGGTCTTCGAGAATCGCTAAATGCGGATGCAGGGATCTTCGCCATTAGGAGGTTCGAAAACATTCCAGGACTAGTTCATATATGTATGTATGTACATTTGTTTGGTTTCTGACTCTGAAATGGAACAATTTTTGCTGTGGATTCAGTGTGGAGCCGTGAGGCTCGTGCTCCCGGGCGTCACGAGCACCTCTAGTATTCCCTCCACTCATCGATACGGATATCACAGTTCGCCTGCCTCGCGTGTCGATTGTGGGGTAAATAAATAACACGAAACGAAACCTATTTCCGATTCCCCAGTGGGACGCGGAACCGGAGAAGGAAGGAGGAAGGAGGAAAGTTCCAGATGAACTTACAGTGGAGTTTCCTCAATAAACACATTCGCAAGCGATTTGTATTTGTCGCATGTAGACAGCAACGCGGGGGGCCGTGAAATGAAATCTTTTACTTTTGGCTCGTACAAACTATATGGGTAAATAAATCAGACGACTCGAATGGGAAATACATTGTTGTCATATTCCAGACTGGATACAAACATAAGTACCAGGGAGGAGGTGCATATACATCGGTGCACATAAGGTTTCTGGCTGTAACTCTAACTCGAACGGGAATGTCATTTGCCACATAGGACATTTCCAAGTGTGCCGAGGGAGTTGCATGTACTTTTGGCCTCAGAGGCGTCGCCTGTCTCAAAATAGTTCAGGTTGCAGTGATAGCCTGATAAAGCTTTTGTTTCCTTCCCTTCCTCCTCGCCATTTCGTCACGATCCCCAATAGAGCGACAGATTTATGTACACGTATAAACATGCCTTACTTATGGTATATATATTTTACAAGTCAATCCCTCTGCTTTTTGGCGGGAAGAACCGTTTCCTCGACAAATAAATACACTTGGAACTTTTTCTTTAACTCGGCGTGCAACGAAAACTGTAAACTCAACTTAACCAATCTTAATTTATCTAGGCTTAAGTAAATTGTTTCGATGGGTCAACAAGGGACCCAGTTACTTGGAATTTCTGGTCTTTGTTGCTGGCTTCGTCGAAGCTTTCGATGTGGGTTTCGATGATTGTTTCGACTTTGTTATACGAGTAGCTGCAGGTTTGTCTTTGACGGGCCCTGTTGTATGGGGTGGAGTTTTTGTGTCGCTTTGCTGCATTTGATATGACATGTTAATAATAATAAATGGCTTTTGTTTGGCAGTCGAGGCCATGTGATACTCACAGTTTTCAACAGCTGCTGCTCCTCCAAGGCGATGTCGTCCTTTTTTTTGACATATAATTCATTAATGACATCACAGAATGGGTTGTCCGTTGAGCTTGCTTCATATATCCATTTGTACGTGAAGTCTGAAAAGCCCTGAATAAAAGCAAAGCGTTTTTATGGTTTTATTCAGCACACGAAGAATGTTCTGTGAAGCAATAATATATTTAACATGGTCACTCAAAAAACCCGAAAATCTCCCAGTACTCGTGGAGTTTCTAAAACTCGGACTAAGCTTGAAATCTGCGATAGACTCCTTTATAAGTAGTATATTTTGTCTGTCAAGGTCTTGCTTCGAGACTGTATATGAGTACATACATATAAGTGGCGTATATTTTGTGTGTATTTCAATGGGAAGGTCCACACAGACCCAAAAACGCATTGTAAGTAAAAGAATTTCCATATAATAAATTATTTAAACAATTGACATATCATTTTCATTAAATTTGAAAACTGTTAACTGCTATTAACCTAGGAAATTTCTGTCCTATGCGACATGTCCCGTGCGAATTTTAAAAGCCTTTTTATACAAAACATTGTAAAATAAGTCACTCCTGAGGCAATATTCACTTTTCGCTAAATCGGCGTTTGAATTTTTGACCGCAAAACCAATTCTGTTCTTGTGCCCTGAGAATATCTTTGGATCTTTCAATTATATTGAAAAAAAATTGAAAATTGCACAAATCAACCGAAGCACCAATTATTGGGCTAATTAAGGGCTGTATACTCGTGGTAAGTAAATATTATCGTCAAAATAAATACCAATTTTATATTGCATTTTTACTTTAAATGTGTACGAATGATCCGTGCGATATTTTTGCGGAAATCCCCACACATATGTAAATTTATGTGATGTAGATATATCATATTGTTACCCAATCAACTCACCATCTCGACAAATTTATCGGCTATACCTTTGAGAATTTCTGTGCTCCTAGTGGTTATTGTACTTTCCGATTTAAGCCGGGAGATTAAATCTGAAATGTTGAAAGAAGTCAATCTATAGGGAGGCAAAGCCGTTGATAAAAGATCAAAAATACTCACCGTTGTTTTCGGATATCAGACGTAGGTAATTGCCGTGCATTTCCGTGGTGGCATTGTTGAAGGTCTGCAGGTGACGTCGCAAAGACTCCAGGGACGTTCCGTCCGGATCCGGAAAAACTAAACTCATCGGAGTGGTGTAGGGATCAGAGCCGGGCTTATTCGCGTCGTACCGAAGCGCCCTCAGATGGTTTCGAACATTTTCAAGGTTCCGCGTGGCTTCAACGAGTTCTTTGCTCTAAAAAAATGGTGGAACTCAGAAACAAAGGAGCAATAGTAGGGACAAATAGTGGGATATCGCTTACAAACTTCTCGAAAAAGGCGTAAAGACGATTCCGGCAGGCCTCCATGGACTGGAATTCATGCCTGCTGTGCAGCTCCAGCAGTTCGTTCAGTTCCGCATCAAGTATCTTCAGAATTTTGCTTTCCTGCTTATCTTTCACCGAGAGATTATCCAGAATGCAGGAAGCAACCATATCTCCGACCTTCTTCACATCATCCTTCGGCATCTCGAAGAACGGCGCAGGCTGTGGCACATTCGCAAGGCACTCCGTGATCTCCTGCAGCTGGTTACAAGCAATTGGCAACAGTGCATTAATTGACTTCATTTTGTGTTCTTTCTACTCTTGTGTTGATCGGTTGTGTATTATTGTATTGTATATTATATATTTTTTGTTTTATATTGTGTATTGTATTTTATTGTTTGTTATATTCAGGAGTCACATGAATTTTTCTACGTATCAAACAAAACAAATTGACTTAAAACCGAAATGAAGGCTGATCAAAGTTGTCGATCAAGTCGATTAGTTGATAAGAAAATGTGCGAGTCTATAAATAAAATAATATTTATGTATGCAAATACATGCATGTTTCCTACAGTCAGTCCCAGTCGCAGTCCCAGTCCCAGTCACTGTCACTGTCCCTGTCCCTGCAGGGACATGGGATCACCCTCCCTTCCACTTACCCGCTGATTAAGCTGGGCAATGCATTGGTCCTTCAGGATGAGCTTTTGCCTGGCCGTCTGGACCACCTCGTCGAGGGCACAGAGCTGGGACTTAAGATGGCAGGCCTCATCGTGCTTGGAGGCCATTTCGTTTACCAGCGATTTCATGCATTCCGCCATCTGTAAGAAGGAAATGTTCAAAGGGACGAGTGAACCAGAAACAAACAGAAATCATAGCGCAACAGAAATCTTAAATTTATTAAGGCAATTTCATGAACAGCATCGGTAGTAACTCGAATAGGGTATCTTCAATGGGGTGGTGGGGGACTGGACGAGGCATTGCGGCAGCACTGGACGCATTCGCCATCGCTCTATGGGGGAGTACACACCGATTGAGTGAAGCGACTTGATCGCTGACCTGCTCTATATCTTACCTTTTCGCTCTCGCTCTCCGGATGACGCTGCTCGCGGGTTATGCCCAGCAGCTGGTTAACAGTCAGGGTCTCCAGTTCAATATTTTTCGTGTCCCAAACGTCCCGGTGATAGGCATTCTGCAAGAGCTTTATGATTGCGCAGAGGTCCTTGCGCAGCTTTCGGTTGTCTTCCAGCGTCTGCTGTTGCTCCCCATTGACCGACTGGACGCATGCCTTGACCTTTTCGTTTGCCTCGTCCTCAAGTGCCGACAAGTTGGTAAACATGACGCTGTTGACGTGCAGTAGGAAGTCCACCCACTCTTGGAAAGTGACCAGACGCAGCTGGAGTGGGAGGTACTGCAAGAGAGATTGGGTGTTAGCCGTTAGCCGTTAGACGTTGAGTGGAAGGCTTCCATTTTTTAGCCTCTCAATGGTGGTCTCAATACCTTTTGTCCGCCCTGAGTGTCATGGCTGTCGATCTCTCTCAGCCGATTGAGGAACATCTGGTTCAGCTCGAGATTTATCCGGGTGGCTTCGCCGTTTCCCACAGGCAGTTTTTCCAGCAGACGGTGATAGTGCTCCGTGGCTATGGGCTCAGTGATGCCATTACACTTGGAATGGGTGTTGTTTTCTTCATCGAAGAGGCTACTGCTGCATTGCTTCAAGTCATCGCACAGTTTTCTGTCATTCCCTGTGTTCTTCTGTGGAGCCTCTTGGCTTTGCTGAGCTAGCAGATGCTGCTGAACATCTAGCGATTGCGCAGCCGGCTGCTGCCCCGAGGTCGTGGCCGTCTCCGGACTGGAAAGTCCCATAGACTCTGCGTCCAAGACGAATCCTCGTTTGTCGCTCATGTTTCGACGATATTGCGATTACGATATCCGCGTTCGTTTCAAGTAACATTCAAAATTTTATATTCTGGCCTAGTTCTACTCTCTGAATGGAATCCGGAGAAGTGTGTATGTGCCAGGTGCTGTTTTCCAGTTTCGAGATCAAACGTTCACTTCGAAAGGGGAATCTCAAGGCACTGCTGATGGGCGAGATTCAGGTGCAGTTTTCCGCTCCTAAGGTCAGCTCTACGCGCACACACGATTCCACACGCACGCAAATCAGCACAGAGAATCGCGAAACGAAACGAAACGCAACGCTAAGAAAAAGCTCTGCTCTGCTCTGAAAATAATACTACTTTAGTATCCGATTCGCCAGAGCGCCGCCCAGACGAACCTTGGCAGCGACGTCAGCGGCAACGCGGCTGCGTTGCGTTCATATCTTTTGTTTGCGGTCTTCTGACGTAGCAAGTAGTTTTGTTTATTTGCGAGTGTATTTATCTGGTTCTGGTTTTCCTTTTTCTGCCGCTGTGCTTTGCTGTGCTGTGCTGTGCTTTGCGACGATTATTTCATGCCCCGCACACGCGTTCGCCACACAGGTATATTTCAGGTAGACTGATTGAGTCCGCACACTGAGCGCGTCTCAGTGTGGGGCAAGGTGTATTTACGCAGGGTGATCCATTTCCACGAAGGTCTCCTACGAAACTTGCCTACTCGTATATGGCTTGATCACGGACCTAAACCCCGATCTTCGCTGACAAATATTTCTCAAGCGAGGTACACACTTTATATATTAAAACGAGCAAGGGGAAACAAAGAACACTCAAAATAATATGGAGTAGCAAACGCAATTTAAAGTTTAGAGCGCAGCACCTTACATAGATATGCCTTGTGTGAGCGACTCCCGCTCTTTCTAGCTCCTCAGCTTATCAGCGCGTCGGATCGATTCGGATCATCGCCCGAACAACACCACTCGGTATTTACCCAAAAACTTAGAAAAGCAAACTTTCTGTTTCGGGCCCCAGTGTATCGGGGGGAAAATGCAAATCATTGATATTTACCAAAATTGCGGTTGCCGCTCGGTGGTTTACGGCTTTTGTGGTGGTGTTACTTCTCTATGGCTACATCTTCCTATAACCAATTTATTTGTGAAGTCATTTGGATGGCTATTTGCCTTTGGGTAAGCCTATTTGCACGGTAGTGGTGGAAAAAATGAGCAAATACTTATTTAACTAGAATATGGACTTACATTTGTTGCACAACCGCTGATAGAACAAATGGAGGTGAGCTATGTGTGGTATGTACTGGCTTGTACTATGTACTGATAAAATATCATAGGAGAACTCTAAAGATACCATAACATATTTTGATCTTTCAAAACCTTGGAAATACCACATACATACTCGGAATTAACATAAACTTTCAAAACTTTTGTAGAACGATTTAATGGTTTATTCCAGGTACTATTGTATGATTTGAAGCCGATCCGATACTATCCTACTAGCCGCATCTTACACCTTCGGATGTGATGCCTCTTCTGCTTTGATCCCAACGGTATATAATCATACAACCCTCTAATAATACATGAAGACACTCAAGTTTGTGATGTTGGGTGCGAAGATCTTAGGATTTAAAAAAGCCATAACCGCTATCCTTAGACCAATCTGGGCTTTTATTCCTAGTCAAAGATAGACAACAAATGTTAAATGTTAACGCTCATACACGTTTAATTTATATATATTTTTCATGAGTAAGAAGAACAAAAATGTATGTACAGATTTAAGATCGCGTTTGTTTGTTCGGTGTTCACTTGTTTTTCGTATTTATCCCATTCAAAATGCATCATCCTTTGCGTCCTACTTAATTCAAATCTTCTGCATTACACAAGTTTTGCATATGTGAATACTTTGAATATATCCATATACATATGCATGTATCAACTAATAGATAAAACAACTTTCATACAGATTATCATAATCACTTCTCTTCATAAAATACATTTGCTTTGGGCATTCGTTAGGCATTCAAAACATAGAGATGGGTACAGGGTATATGTATCTTTAAAATATTTTCATTCTGTTCACATGAATCTCAAAATGTTGTTTGAATATATTTGCAAGGGGATTTTGCTTTGGGCAGACATAGAAATGTACATCAAACGCTCACTATAATTAATAATTCATTTATAAATTTATTACTTTAGCTATATTTATAATTATTAATATTACTTTTCTTTCCTTAGAGTGCTTCTCTTGCATATCCTTTTGTTATTTCTTTGCTTAAAATTAGGCCTTGCATTATGCATTACATCCTTATGTTGCTTTGCCTACGGTACGATCTTGTGGGTTGATGCGTCTATGTAGGAGTGCGTGAGGGTGCAGTGTATGTAGGTTCGGGCTTATTGCTATACATCGTGTGTTATCCGCGAAAGAAAATGACCAAAAACAATGCTTTAGAATATCAAGAAATATATTAGGGTTAATAGTTAGGTTTCTGAGAGACTTGCCATCCTCAAAAGCAATGGTAAACTGTTCAATTTTGAATGTCACAGGCATACAAAATGTTTCAAAGATAACTGTTGGTATGGGGGTGGGGGCTGGAAGTCACGTAATCCTTGGTCAAAAATAGTATTACAGCTGTGATTTGGGTGCCTGCCTGTTTGCTCTCCTGTTGGCCGAAATGGTTGCAATCTAATGATGAGTATGATCTGGATCCTGCCTGTACCGGCCTAAGCCAAGTAAATGTAGACCTTTCGGTCCTCTGGTGATCGCTGTAGGTATTCACGTTCGATGAGACCTTCAATGCGCTTCTTGATGAACACTGGCGAGGGCAAGAACCGTGACTTCAGCTGCGTCGTCACATCCGAAACGAGCAAATTGTGCTAAAACCATTCAAGACACTCCCGTTAGCATATGTACATATTTAAAAAATACAACAGCTTATATATACTCACAGCCATTCGCTTGCGCGCCTTCATAATGCGTACAATGGCTGCTTCAATTTCGTGCTTCCGGTCCTCGTCCACTTTGCCGCGCGTCTCCTTGCGCTCTGGCTCTGATTCGCCCTTGGCGGCCACTGTTTGTATCTTCACTCTGCAAAGTAGTTCGGAATCAAAGAAATTAGTCCCCGTACCCTGTTTAGATTGATTCCAGCCTTCAGCTTACCTGTGAAACTTTGATACAAAGGCATCATTCACATAAAACTCATCTGAGGGCTCAATTTCCTTCGTTTTCGTTTTGGAATTTCGCACAAGCAAACGCTGCGCTGGCTTGCCCATTGACAGCGATTGGAGAGCTCTCACCAGCTCTCGTCCGGGTATGTCTGTCTCTTGTTGGATATCGTCGTAGGTGAGGACATCGCGATTGTTGAACAGTAGCAAAACACACATCTGCAGGGATACAAAAAGTTAATAATGGCAAAAGCACGCGATTTATATGTTCACTGAATCTTACCTGGTAGGTGGACACTTGCAGAATATGCTTGCGCGTTGTCGTGGGCACAGTGCACCCGGTTGAACTAGAGCTGGGTGCATCTTTGTCCTTGTCGCTGTCGGCAGCTTTGCGGCCATAGAACACGGCATTGATGTAGGAGGTTCCTGAGTTGAATATGGGGTTACAAATGTGTAGTGGATGACCATCGCGTTAAGGCTTACCCATTTGCGGTTGTAACGTAAGCTGGCGTCCAGAGTGCTTGTTTAGATAAAAGCTCTTGAATATCTCAAAGGCTTCGCGGGGCGCTACAGGTATGTTGCAGTTGGGCGTCGCTGTCTGTTTGAGATCGTATGAGATTTACGGCATGAGACGTGAGACAAAAGACACTTACCTGAGTGGGCCAGAATCCAGTGGTTAGTATGCGTACCGTCAGCTCGACACCCACCAAGGACAAGTTATTGTTAATTACATAGTTCTTGAACTCATCCATTATCGTGTTGGAGACGGACATATCCTTGAACATACCCTCGAGCTTTGAGGTAAATTGACAGCCGCATTCAGTCTGCAAGAGGGGAAACACATATGTGCATTCATGAATGTAAAAATAAGAATTGGTTAGTGGTTAGAGGACGCCAACCTTTAGTTTGGATATCATGTTCTTTTCGAAATCATCTGAGACTGATTTATTGAGCAGCAATCGCTTGGCCAGATGTGTCTTGTAATAGCGCTCGAAGACATCCTTCTCCAGGAGGAATCGGAACAGCACCATTGTCTTGTCCAAAATGGATTCGATCTCCTGCTCGCTCATCTGTAGTGGGATGGGGGGCGGCCATTAGTCTGAACAGAGATTTTAGACTGCTTTGAATACTCACTCCCTTGCCGCCCTTTTTCAGTTTGTCGTCGATGAATAGCGACAAATATTCGGGGGACTTGTTGTTCAAGTTAAGGAAATGCTCGAAATCAGATGAGATCACCTTTTTGAAAATGCGATCGTTGCTAAATGAGTGCACCAGAAACTGATCGAAACGATCTTTGAGATCCAGGAGGTTTTGCACAAAAGTTATGGGATTTGTGTTGCCATTTTCCTCCTCCTTGACCAGCATGCGTCCCTGTTCGCGCAAATATGCAGACATCGTGTCGGCTATCACCTTGAGACCCTCCTCCTTCAAGCGTGAAAACAGTTTGTATGTGCAAGCCAGGTCCTCGGTCTTTGAGTTCTTGATCATGTACACCACGCCAGAGTTCTCCATTTCAACGATCGGCCTCATGTGCTTCTTGATCAGCTCCTCCTCCACCACTCTCACGATACGTGGCTCCGTGTCCTTGTCCAGATAAAGAGCAGCCCGCGACGACTCTTCGGTGATGCGTGCCTCAACTTTCTTGATGTAAACGCCAGCGTTGTTCTCGGCAAGAAAGTTTTGTGATTCAAATTTGTAGAAGGCTGCCGATTGCGCCAGGAAGGGCTTCTCAAAGTCCTCCTCGTAGACAGTGCGCGAGTTGATTCCCAGCGTAATAAGCATCGTGCAGGCATTCTTAATGGCCAAATGGTTGATTGCCTCGCCATGCCGCTCTTCCATTACCATGCCCAGCAGCTTCTCGCGCAGAGCCTTCTGTATCTCCGAATGGCGAACCACCTGAAATGAGGAGATTAAGCGAACATATTTAGGACACGGCCACAAGACACATTTTGAAGTTGATGTAGGTGCTCACTTGATCTCTGAATAGAATCAATCCCAGATTATATACATTGTCCACTTCCCGCTGCTGCACGTAAACCCTGTCCATATACATGAGAATGTCGCGTATCATCACCATGGAGGTCTGGTGGTCTGTCCAGGCTTGGTTTAGCTTGGGTAGGAAATTGCTGTGTAGGCTCTCCAGCACCTCTTGCCGCACCTTAAGTTCGAGGTGCTCGGAGACGACTTCTCTGAGGCCATAGTACAGTCGATTGCCGTGCTTGTGGAGCACCATGTTGTAGGCATTTCGATACAGCTGCTCGAAAGACAGGCCCGAGTTGTTCTTCTTCTGTATCTCCTGGATGGCATTCTTTAGGCTGGCCCAAATGGTCTCCACATATTTTTCGTCCATTGAGGCCTGAAAAATAGATAGCGGGAGTCGATTAGATTTGACTTTCCTGTGAGTGCTTTCGCTGCTACTGAGATATAGGCTAACATTGAAGGCTCTTCGCTTGTACTCGGGCAGCCAGAGCGGATACTTTTGTCCGATTTCCTTCAACCGCGACACTCCTGCACTCTCGTGGGGCGAAACAGGTGCTGCCTGAGAAGATCGGTTGGATCTGGCGCTGTTTTGAAGGCCTGGCTGTAGAAAATGCACTGACTGAGGCTGCGGGGCAGCTATACTTCCGGGAACGTTTAGACTATGATTGTTGTTGGGGACACGAGTGTGACGGTGCCCTACAATGGAGCGATGAGATCGGGAAGCTGCCCCATTTTCTGCACTGCCGCCGCCTCCGCCTTCTCCAATGGTCACTTGAGGGAAGTTATTGGAGCCAGCAGCAATGCGGCTGTGGTAATGGCCGTGAATGTTTAGATTGTTCAGAGGTTCCGGCGGCTGCAGTCGGGGATCTCGTCTGTGCATTGGTGGCAGTCGCGAGCTGTAGCGCCAACGGGTCCCGTGGTGCTCGCCAGCAATGTTGTCCCGTTCCAAGTCCTGCTCGTGCGGCTCCTGCCGCTGTGGTTGGACGCCTCGTTGCTCCTCGCCCAACGCCAACGACGACCGACGGTTCTGTTGGCCCGCTGGTGCCGTGCGTGAGCGGCTTCTATCTGTCGACCTAATGATGACGGCTTCTTCAACATTCACCAAACCAAATTGTCTATCGAGCCGCGCAGAGTTCTTTTCTAGCCTTTCACCCGGTTCTCCTCATGCACAATCTTGCTGTGCGTCTAGTACGAACTAAATTTTTCGTATAAACTACGATGGGTTTTTTGTTCTAATTTTTGCCTGACAGAATTTCGAACGGAATTGTTAGCAGGTGTAGGGTGTGAGGTGTTAGTGTTGTGATTACTGGGGGGAGTCTGGATAGTCCAGGCAGCAACGGACTGCTGGGGTTGTGCCAGTTGGGGAAAAGTACTATCTTATCGAAAAATTGTGTCTGCTCATGCAAAACCAATCACCGTGTGGGCGGGTAGGTCTCAAACAAGAAGTTCCGCGAATATACTCGCCCGGAATTAGCGTTTCGGTTCCGTTTTGACTTACCGGAAAGGCGCGTATGCGCATTTTCCCCTCCTTTTTTGGAGGATTTCCCCTTAGATTCATGATTTGTAGGCGACGACACTGCTCCTCCACTTTTTCTGTAGTCCGGTCTCTGGAGCAGGTGAGCTGCTGCAGAAGCTCTGTACGCTCGGCGCTCGCCCAATCAACGGATGCGGGGGCGGGCGGGCGTTGGCAGATGCGGCGATACAGGCGGCTTTTATCCAGACGTCAATCTCGTAAATCGTTGGACAATCTTCGGTACTTCTATGGGCAAAACGAAATCTCAAGTTAATATCTGCGGTTTCCAAGGGTTATATATTTAGCGATTCAGGGTATGTACTATAAAGACAGCTGAGGAAGCCCCCAAGAGCTGGTATCGACCGGACGGGTGCGAGATGTGTCTACCATGAGTTCACTTCTACATTCCGCCCAAAATGTTAGGGTGTCACTATTCAAATGTGCATGGGAGCGTCTATTTAGAGAGCCAGCGGATTCGCAATGCCTTGCCCTCGCGGATGCTCGCATCCCGCAATGAAATCCCAGCCCAGCCCGTCGACCCAAAGCGGATCGGCATCAGCGGCTGCAGCTGCACTTCCTTTGTTGCAGCATATCGATGTATCCACTATCCCCCATATATCCCTTGTCTTGTGTCTTGTGGATCTCTCCACGAACAGCGGCAGAAGGCGGAATGAAGCGAAACGAAGAAGAAACAGAAAAACTCACACGGCGACAAATAATTGTTATGTATGTGCGTGCGATGCAGGCAGCTGAAAATGGAGGTCCACCAATGGCACTCGTGGTTCAAGCATAAAACCAAATTTTAAACAAAACACTATATGCAAACGAAAGTCCTTTTGAATTTTCACTAACTTTCCTGCTGTTTTCTATAGTTTTTTTTTCTATTTCACTTTGTCATGGAAAATACTGGCCGAGTGTGTGTCAGAGCGTAAGAGTGCTGTTTCTCTCTCCAACAGTGTTCGTGCGTGTGTGTGTGTGTTGTGTGTGTGTGCAAGTGTGTTGTACCTCTGCTTTCTCAGCGGCGTTCCTTTTTATGTTCTGTTCCCTCAAGTAAATCTGTTCTCGAATTGTTTCACCTTTTCACACCGACAACAAAAGTTGACCACGAAATTAAAAAATTTTGTTGCAATTGCTTTGCACATTTACGTTGTTTATCAGTGTGACCGCGGACTTACTGATAAAATATACCGCTTGACCCTTAAAAATATACCGAAATATAAAGTGACCGCACAAAAATATTTTCTGAAAATGTGAATACCAGACGTCTCGTCTCTAACGTGTTTTGTCATCGCTGACAAATCCACAGCAGCGACCTTTTTAATGCATGCAACAAGATTGTTAGTTCAGAAAGTGGCCGATGATAAGTATGCATTTCATGTCAATTACATGTATTCGACATGATTTTGAAATGTAATGTTTAGCAGTAAAACAAAAAAAATTATATCTTCTTAATTACCCAAAAAAAATATATTTCCAAATTTCTAAAATAAATAAAAGGTCTGCGTCATAAAAATGTTGTCATAGTATTACCATAGGGCTTAATAGTTTGATACGATTCTAAGAAAGATAATTAATAATAAATAATGTAAAGAATTTGTACTTGCTAAAAAAGTTTTTATACGAATCATAGCTGAAATATTTCCATAATTAAAGTTTCAGCTTTACCTGGAGAGCCAGCAAGTGAAAGCTCCGCTTAACAACTAATTACCCTGCGGCAAGGTCTCCCGACAGAATAATATTTTAATTATGACAACTTGAACTGCTGTAACGACTGTTGTAAGTGGATATCCAGGACCGGCTGCCGCATGTGGCTTTCTTAATTGGCCAGGCGCACTGCCTGGCAGGGCTTTGCTGATAAGCAAATTGGTAAAAATTTACAACGAAATTGTGAGTTTAATTTGTAAATAAATTCTTCGACCTCCTCCAAGCTCCAAGCTTCCAGCCCAAGGCCCAAGGCCCGTGCCATGCGCACTTTCACCGCGCCGCAGTGTTGGCAGCCTGTTGCTGTCAGCCTGGCTGTCGGTGTGGCAGGCTATTGTGGTGCATTCGCTGTACCTTTTGCTTCATTTGGCGCATTTGCCGTACGTTGTGCGTCGAAATTAATTAGTCGCACTTCATGTTCGTGCCCGCCGCTGCGTAGGTGTTCGTCTACCCTACGGGGGAGTGGTCCAAGTGTATGCCATCAATTTATGCGTACAATAGTTATTATATTGCGATGCGCCTGGCATTAATTACAAGTCAGGTACTTCAACATGAATGTTGCCGCACCGCGGGTGCAACAGAAAACAAAAACTACAAAAACTACAAAAACTACTCCTAAGCAGCGAATACGAGTATGTGAGTGGAGTGGCTGTGTCTCTAACAGTGGTCTCCAGCGATAATCGTGCACCATCGCTACCACTCATATTCACACCAGGCGCACTCGCGGCAACAAGGACAATAAATCATCTTACAAGCATCGAGTGCAGACAAATTCCCTGAAATTTGAATAAAAATCAAAATAAATGCACACAAAACACGAGTCCGGGAGTCGGGGCCGTAAAAGGCATTCATTGCCTGAAAGGCAGCCGCATCAATATGGAGCACAGCAACAACAACAGCAACAACCACAGCCACTGCCACTGCTCCTCGATGTCGGCATTATGAATAACTTTTAAATTTGAATGTGAAATAAACGCTTTGTCTAAGCGGGCTACCGTTAGCAACGTGCTGCTTGGGATTACCTCTTGCCTCTGCTGCAGTTGTTGCCAATGATTTATGCAGCAATATTTGATGAAATATAGTACAAAAGGCGCACAGCAGCAACAGCAGCAAAAGCAGCAACAACAAAGATAAATTGCCGCACGCTAAATTGTAAACTATATAAGGTTTAAATGCAAAGTGTGTTGCATGCTTGTGTTGCACACTGAATGTTTACATAACGTCCGGCAACGAAAACCGCCACAAATCGTTATCCTGCACTGCCTTCAAAGCACAGAGCTGTGAGCAGAAGCACCTTCGCTGCTCGTTTAATAGCACTTCAGAGCACCATAAGGTATTGTAAACTAAAGTAAAGTCCTCATAGGTAAACCATTTTGAACGGACCCACCGGGAATCCCCCGGATCTGAATTTTTACTGAATCTAAGGAACAATCAATCTGCTAACTTTGGAGTCACAGCTTGCTGGTCTCCGTGCGCACCGGGCCGGTCAGTGCAATGCATTCGATCTCCACAAGGGCGTCCATCGGCAGCTTGGCCACCTGGAAACAGCTGCGGGCCGGAAAGTCCTTATTGAACACTACAGAGATAGATAAGCAAGCATAATGAGAATAATAGTCGTAAAAGTTTACACCAGAGAATAAACACACATATGCATGTACATATAGTCGCTGATAGTCGCCGATAAGCCGCTACGATTGCCTTATCAAGCGACATCGACCTAAAGCCAGAGACCACACTGCACTCACCCCGCTTGTACACCTCGTTGACCGCACCAAAGTCGTTCAGGTCTTTGAGGAAGACTGTGTTCTTGATCACCTTATCCACGCCGGAGTCGGATGCCTCCAGTATGGCCTGCAGATTCTCCAGCGCCTTCTCTGCCTGCTCCGTGGGGCCGCCAGGGACCAGTTTCATCGAGTCCTTGTCCAGGCCGAGGCAGCCAGACACGTAGACTGTGCGATCGGCCACCACTGCTTGGCTAACAAATAAATAAATATAATTATCGATTGATCGGGGCACAGGGCACTCGGAGCTGTCTATCTCCGTGCTCACTTGTAGGGCGCCACCGGCTTGGCGGCGTTCACGGTGCTGATCAGCTTCCTCACAATTGTCGACATTTTAGTTAGTGATTAGTGATTTAAAAGCAGTGTGCAGAACCTCAAGCTGAGTTGTGGAGTGATGGAGCCGCTTGCCGCTCGCCGCTACGTTTGTTTTTTCCAGCAGAAATGGAATGTTATCAGCACTCAGCACTTGCGCTTGGGGAGAGTGAAAAAGAGAACGCAATGCTCAATTTTGCTCTGCTTTGCTCAAATTTTCGAGCAGGTGTCGAGCAGCAGAGTTCAGGTAAAAATTATGTAAAAATAATGTAAAAATCTAAATCATTTGAAACAAATAACATCACAATTCGGGATCAAGAAATAATAGTTTACAATTTTTGGACAAAGGCAGTATTTTACAGTGGCGCAGCCACTAGCGTTCGACGGTCAAAGTTGTCAAAATTCTCGTCACTGTTACTAACTACACCTGTTTAGTTTTACATGTAAAATATAATTAAAATAGAAAACAAATTTCCACCCCACCATGGAAAAAAAAACATTAAAAGTAAATAAGAACCGATTTCCAATTTATTGAAATTTAGCTGATTTAACTAATTGACATATCATGTCATCAACTTAAACATAAGAAATAAAAAATACAAGAACAAATATTTTTGATTTCGATTGTTGTAACTTGTTGGGTGAATAATAGGACTAACTACTGTAATTACTGTTCGTATACAAATAAATTTTAATAAATATTCTATTCCACATTTTCAATACACTTGATGTTCGCCGACCAGTCCAGAGTCCGTCCAGTGTGCCGCCATGTACCACGGAGGAGAACAAGTATACCCTGCCGATCCGCAGCCCGATGTCCTTCCATGGACTAATGGACTCGTACTAATACTTGTGCGTATGGTGTAATAACTTAATTAACATTTTTGCTTGGGATTATTAATTCGCGATCAGGAAATTTGGGTCGCACTCGCTTTCTCTAGCAGAAGTGCAGCCAATATTTGATTTAACGCCATGAAAAATGCATGCCATGTCACT